TTCCAGCAGCAGGAGGTTGATGGAGGTGACCTCCATTTTGCTACAGACGGTAGCCCTGGGGGATCCCAGGATCCACGATTCCAAGTGATCACTTGGGGAGTTGTGGCTTTTCGAATCCTGGGTTCCCAGATCCAGGTGGTTGGCACTGCTGCAGGACCTGTCACCTGCGAACAAACAGTATTTCGTGCTGAAGCGCAGGCGATTACGTACCTGGTGGCTAAAGTCCAGGGCAGCATTGATGTTACCTTGGACGCCAAAGGGGTGAAGCAACTTGCTGAGAGGGCGCCAAGATGGAAGTCGGAGGATTTGTTTCAGCCGGTGCGTGCCGAAATGGATCGGGTCTCCCTTACTTGGATCAACAGCCACCTCACTGAGAAGGAATACATTGCCAAGTTTGGAGCTGCCTCCCTATGGAGGTGGCAGGCCAATGAGGAGGTGGATAGGCTGGTGCAAAACCGAGCCAATGAGAGAAGGGATTTGGCCTGGGAACAGAAAGTCCTCATCAAGGATGAGGTGGTCATCAGAGTGAACTCCCTGTTGGCGCAGAGAACAGCGGCGATGTTTCAATATGATCGGCTTGATGGCCCCCAGGTTGTTTATCCTGACTCCAAGGAGGACAATACACCTTCGCAGAAGAAGCTTCGTAAAGGGCCCAAGCAGACGAAGCTTTTTAAAGCCCAAAAGCAGCGCAAAAGAAAAACCCAGGTAGCTCCACCTGGTGAAGGCAAGCTGAACAAGAGGCAGCAGATGGAGGCAATGCTTGATGGTGCTCGACCGGCCTTGGGGCATAATTGGGTGGTCGGGCATCAGTCCAGAGACCAGCTCACGATCAAATGCAGCACCTGTGGGCTGTATGTGCAACAAACGGAGTCGATCACTATCTTTGACAGGAAGATAAATCACCACTGTTTGTTTCAGGGCCCGAGTTTTGCAATGGCCGCCCATGCCACTCACAAAATTGTGAATGGAGGTAAGGCCTGGTTGTGTACCAGGTGTGGGGTTAAACAGTGGGTTGCACAGGACAAGCTTTGTGATGGTTTTGGCAAGGAATGCCGGCAAAGATACCAGGGCAAAGACAAAGACCTCTGGGTAAGAGACGTCATTCAGCAGGCGGCACCAAAAACTGGGATCTTCCAGAAGCCTGCTTCCAGCCAAAGCCCTCGTTCCCCTGACCTCCCAAACCTGAGGTGTTCTTGACAGCTTCAAGGGGATCAGCTGTCACTGGCAGCACTGA